TAGACCTCTGCTGTACCAGTTATGAGTAAGCAGACTGATTTCTCTTGCTAATTTAGTAACATCGTGCTATGACAAGTAGAGCAGGGTGCGAGGCAGTGCTTGCTTTTCCTTAAAGCCTTTTCAAAACTAGAAGATGCAACATTGTTTGGTTTAAAAAACAAAAACAAACCACACATAGGCATCTTTTCACACCAGGCTTTCTTCTCTCTCCCCCCCTGCCCAGTGTCATTCCTTTTGAGCAGAGCTGACTCTCCGCATACCGATAGGTATTTTGTCTCAGAAGGCTGTGCTGGGAATTGAAATTTTCCCAGAGGGAGGGGATCCGAGAGCAGCTGTGGCCAGTGTTAAAAGACACTGAGCAACAGGACAGTGACGTGCTTCACATATAACGTACAAAGCCTGGCCCCTCTCCTCAGTAAAACAAGATGTGGGCTGGGGAAGAATTATATAAATCCAAAGAAAATTACAAACTGCAAAAGCATGTTCTAGCTGTTAAAAATAAGAGAGATTACACATATTCTTCTGATAGACTCTTCAAAAAGGCTATCGTGGCTGTGTACATCCCAGAAGCTATGAGTCCTGAATAACCACCATACAGAATATTGTTCTTTAGAAAATTCCTCATGTATTAGAAACAGCCCTTTTTCACTCCTGATTCTTTATCTGTTGTTACTAGGAGTTCGTGTAAGCTCTCGATCTCTTCAGTCTATTTCTGTATGGATTTCCAGAAGCCGTTTGCTAAATCTACATTAATCCTTAAAAATTCAAGCAGATTTTTTAAAAGCAGACTGGCGATAGAAGTGTTTTATACATACTCAGACCTAAGAGAATAATTACAACAGCAATTTCCCAGGATTACATTGCCTCAGTGAATGGTGAGCCCACAGGGTATTTCAGGCTCTGACTACCTCCTACCTTCTATGCCCTCATCCTTTCAGTAGCACAGAGAGAGTTCTACTAGAAAAGAAGGCAGATTTAATTCAATGTGGTTACCACACTGCCACCGACAATGACTTAAACGTGGCAAGTATATTATTGGTGTATTAGTTTGGTATGAAACTAAATCAGTGGCATAATTATTCTGTATTTTATCATCAGAGTAATAAGACATAGTGAGCAGAGACGAACTGCAATTAAGATGGGTCTCGGATGTTACTTGCGAGTTGCTTTTGGTAACTAAGTACGGGAAAGTCTGTTCCCATATAGATTTCTTCTATAACTAGAAGAACCATAATTTCTCCCTGAAAAAGAGGGGGTTTGAGACAGACCATTCACTCCTACACATCAGCTGAAAGTATTTTCATTCTTCTTTAAGAACAACAAGAACTAAACAAAATCCCGTTTATCACTCAAAGATCTGTCTACTTAGTTAGACAGTTTGTATTACTTGTAAAGTGAGTTGAGAGACTCGGGGTTTGGATTTGCATTCATCCTTCCTGGACTAGGTAAATACTCGCTGCTAATCCCCATGGCGTAAATAAAGTTCAGTTCAAGGACCAAGTTTCCTATAGCCAGAAAGGGTGAATTCATCGCTTGCCTCCCAGGAATCCCAGATTCCACTGAAATCATGGAGCCGAAAAACAAGGATACTTGCGTGGCTGTGTGTGTGTACAAATATGTATGTATGCACATGTGAATATACAACACACAGTTATACATGGATATACATACACACAAAAAAAAGCACTCAGAAACAGTCTTTTCTTATACTCCACATCCCATTGTTAAGTAACCTCTGATCCTGGACAGCTTCTTCAGATCAAGGTCCTTACTGAGGAGAATTAAGCTTTCCCTCTCTTCCCTGCCATCATATCAGAGGCATTCCTAAATTAGAGTGGATGAATCCATGCCAACTTGGCTGATGGCATCTTTTGACAAATACACGGGTTCCCAGTAAGACAACTCTCCCTACTCTTAAATCACAGAGTTGGAAAACAAACATCTGTGTAGGGTATTTGCTCATGTGTCACAAGAGCAAATTCTGAATTTGCCACGAAGTAATGCTCGGGCACATACACGCTCTTCCTACCACTTCAGGCTCCTGAGACATGCTCTCCTCCAGTCACAAAAAGCAGAAGACAGGAAAGGAGTCCATTGCACCACTTTTATCTAATGCTTCCTACAGCATCAGCTCCTGGGCTTTCAACAGCAAGCTTCATAGACTATTCCATTACTGAACAACTGCATTTTAGAATGATGGAGGGAAAAGCACTTAAGAGGAAGGAACAGCTATACTAGATCGGCCCCAAAATCCACCTTGCCCAGCATCCTGTCTCTAACACTGGATGCCAAAGGAACACCAAGGCAGCCATAAAGCACAGTATTTTCCAAGCAGCAGCTCCTTCTGGCCGAGGAATGCTTGGAGCCAGAACGAACACCTTTATATTGGGTGGTGGGGCAGGTGTTCATCCAAGGTTATCCAGTTGCTTTTTAATCCGCACAGACCTGCTGCAACTGGGCATTATGGATGTCACACACTTGCAGCTTCACCATCTATTGCGTGGAGAACACTTCTTCTGCCTAGTCTGAACTACAACTTGCTGACTGCATTTGACGCCCATCAGTGGATGGAGAACAACCATGCCTTGTCTCTCCCAGCCACGAGCACTTTCCACACCATTCAGGATCCTGGAGATCCCCATGATGGCTCTCCTCAGCTGGCTGTTGTCCAGCCTGTAACCTACACTGTGGATTGCTGTAGAGAAACTACTGCACAGCTTTGGTTATCCTCCTTGTTCTCCTCCGCATGCCTTTCCCAGCAGTCCAAAACTCCACCGGTGACCTCCCCACAGTACAACTAACCCAGTTTATTTCTAAGCTGCTTTGTAATTTTTGCCTTATCACTCCTGTGATAACACCATCTTAGCATGTGGCTGCATGATTTCTCTACAAGCCATGCATGTGTGGCCTTTTGCAATTCCAGGTGTGAATGCATTCATTAGTCTCCCTCATCCTTGTCACTGACTCTTTCAGAAGGAAACTCCAAGAGACTTCAGAAGCAAGATTTCCTTTTCCAGAAGCCGCTTTGACTCTTCCTCAGACTACCACATTCACCCCCACATCCAAAAACAGTTCTGCCACCACTTTTCCTGGCACAGATGCCAGATTTAATGGACGACAGGTCCTATATGCCCTCTAGACTCAAAAACATCACCACAACAAGAAAGGTGGATTGTGTGGTGGCAGCTACATTTGCCTGGTACCACAGTAATTTGAAGCACAAAGGTTGCACACCATGCTTAGCAGAAGCACTATTTCATCCACCGCGCTTCCGGTCACCAGCTCTCAGCATCCACCCATGTGACCAGCCTGCACTGTACACTCTGTGGCCAGCAATTCCAGTTCCAGTGACTTTTAATAATTCTGGCTAAAGGAAAAATCTACTTACGAAAAGGAAGCATAAAATATATTTCCCTTGTAAAAAAGACTGTAGAGTAAATTAAGCAAATACTCAGTTCTGTTTGCCCTTTTTTCACACACACACCCCTTTTTTTTTTTTTTCTTTTTTGATCTCATGCATGTGCTTTCACTCCTTGCAGGACAGAACTGCAATGCAGAAAGATGCCAAATCAGAATGATGGGTTTCACCAAAATGTAAACTAGGGTACCTTCCCAGAGGATGGTAAATTTAAACAATTCCCACAGCACTCAGTAGCAACACCCACTATTAGGAGGCAGAAGTGACAACAAGACTGATTACTCACTTGAATGCTGTCTGACTATCCTGGGGTATCTTTTTAATAATAAATACATATATTAAAAAAAAAAAAAAATAGACAAACTATACTTCATCTTTTTTAAAGCATACACAAAGACTGAACCCAAAGAGAAGAGAGAAATTATCAAAGAAACATGTTTGTCAGAGAAGACCTTGGATAAAAATTATTTCAAAATAAATTAAAAATATACGTCACTGATGTGCATGTTAATTAAAATTCCACCTTCAGAAGACCTTGGATAAAAATTATTTCAAAATAAATTAAAAATATACGTCACTGATGTGCATGTTAATTAAACAATTCCACCTTCCATTTTTACTCAATTTTTCTTCCTCTATGTCCTTCAAAGATTATGCTGGTGATATTTTGTTCATGCACCACAAGTTTTGAGCAGCGAACCGTCACCTAATGGTGAACCCTTTACCTGAAGAGTACCTATTACCATCATCTGTGTCTGTTCAGTCTGCGGAAAATAATAGTCCTGGAAAGCTGATCTATAAATTTCAATCAAAAGACTCTACAGGAGAAGCATTAAACCCAGAATGAATACTCTCAGCTAAATACTTCTGGCAACAGTGAGAAAAGTGGTATTAACGGCTAACAGCCACTTCCAAGGCAGTTATCAGCAACATAAGGAAAATACACAACAAAACAGTTTGCAAGATACTACACAACAGTAATCGTACACACTGGTATTTAAGTAGGTACGTTCACATTCTTCACAAAAGACTTCCATCCCTCTGGCAATGCTGCACTGTCAAGAGCACTGCCATGAAAGGCTAGTCAAACCTTCTGATGTGTCCCAGTGCTACTGGGTTTTGGAGGCAGAAGTTCAAGGTGCCACAAAATTTGTAATGCATTTAGAAATAAACCTCAACCATTTATGCCTACAAATGTATACAAATATATTTGGGAATACAAATACATCTGTTGGTGCAGCTTCTTCTTTTCCTTAAGTTTTAAAACATTAGCATACAGGAAAGAAAGCCAGAGGCCAACCCAAGGTTGGCAACAATGATTTATAGAGGGGGTAGAGGGTTTTTTCAGAAGTGCTGTTACTTGCAGCTTCCAATATTTCACATATTATACAATGAATGCTATAATGTCCATTCAATGTCCACTTTCTAAATATTATACAATGATACATAAATTAAATGTTTTGCCACACCAACACTGACTGTATGCCCATCAGCTGGAACATTTGAGCAATCTTACTCTGTTGCAGAGAGTGTCTTGGTAAACCAGAGTCTCACAGAGAACTGTGGCTAGAAAAGGCCTTACCTTCTCTTCCTGATGTACTCTGTTGGCATTTTCCATCTGAAAGCTGTGCAAGGACTGGATTTTGTCGATCTGCTCTCGCTGCTTCTCTAGCTCCCCTTGGAATTCATTCTTTTTGAGCTCCACAGCTCCCCTCTCCACTGCCGCCCTGCGGACTTTGCCTTCCAGATCCATGATCCGACCCTAAGGAAGAGCAAATTAGCCAAAGCAAATAGAAATGCTTCCCCCTTGCCGGACTCTCTCTGATACATTCAAGGAGTACCAAATTTCACAGAACTAACAATGCTAATGTCATCAAAGTATTATGTCAGCCAGTGATACCCGCCACATACACAGACACACAAAACCCCCGGTTTTACGTAAATTACCAGTACAGCATATTCTGTAGAGACTATCAAAATTTCAGTTAAAGATACACGTAAAAAAAAAGGTCCAGTAGCTACCAGCAGCAGAAAGCAGGACACTATTGAGCTTAAAAAAAAAAAAAAAAAAAACACCCACGCAAAAAAAAAAAAAATAAAAAAAGATTGCAGTCTTCAATCTTTCTGAAGTACAAGGTCAAATTATCTTTTAAATTTAATCCAGACAATTCCAATATCACTGTACTTCCCAGTGTTGATCCTAAACTAACTCAGAGGGAAAATTCATCTCTCAAATCAATACATTTTCCTGGAAGACCTGGAAAAGAATAGAGGGAGGACAACACTGCCTAACTTTTACGTAAACAACTGACATACAGCTGTTACACAAAGACACATATGAGAAAAACTCATTTATAAGCAGAAAATCATCGTTCTTCTTGATTGCTCAAAGAGCAGTGACAATCAGAGGAAAATTCAACACCATCACATACTGCATGCATAAACACAGAGACATAAGGTAAGGAATGCTATCCTTATATGCTATCACAGCATATAAGGATGCTATCACAGCTTTTTTTTTTCCCTCCCCCCCTTTTTTTTTTAAAGTACATATTTACTTTTGCAGGACATTGTTTTTAAACATTTTGGGTTAAAATCGCTCTTCGGCAGCAAGGAAGGGTACAAAGACAGGCAGGGGGCGGGGGAATATCAACAGAATTTACCCTGGTAGAAAGACCTGGGGATTCCATGTGGATTAAAAAATAGAAATAATAAAAACTGTGCATCTTCCAAGACTCCAAGAAAATGGACGATATCTTCTTATACCACAGTATGCTACGTATTACTGCCTGCCTACTCTGCTTCTCTATCACAGAAAGTGAGAGAACAGAGAAGAGGCAAGGGGGAGAAAGGCTGGGGGCGGGGGGGGGGAAACACTTGCAGTTTAGCTGGAGGAGCAAAGAAAAGCACTTATTCCATTTCGGTCATAATAGCTGCAAAGTCTTGCCAACAAATGAACAGGCTGACACAGTGCTTTAGAAGCTCCATCTGCGCCTTCGGCTATCCTTTTATTTCATTCAGAGTGCATGACTACGCAGAAGTGAAACAATTTTCAAGCTAACTTTGGGAGAAACATACAAGATTATACAGTAAATCAGTAACAGTAAAGAGGACCTTATGTCTCTAGGTTATTGAGATCAAGAATAAGCTAGTATGGTAGCTTATTTTCCTCGCTATCAGCTGCCTCACGGCCACGCAGCAAAGCTTCAGCAGTACTGACACAGTCACTACCTGCTGCTAGCCACCATCCTGAGGCCACTGACTAAAGGGAAAACAAGGGATGACGAGAGTCCCAGAAGACAGGGCATCATACCCTCCACCAAGGGTAAGCTAAGACACATCCTTAACCGCATGGCCAGAGACACGTGTCCTGTCTGAATAGTGCCCACTCCGAGGTAAAACAGGAGTTCAATTCCTACAGCTGTCAATTCAGTACTAAAATGCACCTCAGTTACAAAGAGGATACAAATTCAGTGGAAAAACTTGAGAGGAGCTCTCATCAGCCATGTTTAATCATCAGGTTGTTAGTTTCTAGGTTTGCGTGTTAAAAACAAACAAACAAACAAAAAACAAAACAAAAGAACCCACACATTGTCACAAACCAGTAACTTTATTCACGTACTCCTCAACTTCAGAACACATGCTCCAGAAAGGATTAAAACCCAAGCTCAACCACCACAGACAATACAGCTACCATTAGAAAAATAGCAGACAAGGTAATTATTCCATGTAAGTTGCATGCCCTCTTTAGGGAAGGTTTCTAAGAAACACAAATTCAGATTTTTAGACACAGTTTCTGAACAAGCTAGATTTCCTTGTACTTGGTGGGAAAGCATGCATACATCCTTACGGGTCATGTAAGAAAAAAAATCTAGGGATATGAGCAAACTGCAGATGCCCATTCAGATTAAAAATGGAGAGCCAGTCTCAACGTACACTTAGGAAGAAAAACAAGAGGATGGCATTTGCCACATCTGTAAACTGAAACAGCACAAGATAAGTTCACAAAGCACAAAGTTCGCTTTGTGTGAGCAGAACTAACAAGTACCATACAAGCAGGTCTTCAAGTTTTGGGTCCCCCTCACCTACAAATAGGCATTCCTCCCATTCCCTCCATCTCCCACTACTGACAAGCAACAACTGCAATATTTGTGAAAATTCCTATGACAAGCTGAAGCTCCTGGCCCACCACATGCAGGGGAAGCATCCTTCTTGTTGTGCACTATGTTTATTAAACACACAAGTACAAGACAATATACAGAGCAATAGGAAAGTTACCTGCAGATCCACGCTGCGAGAACTTGCAATCCAGTAATTGAAACCCAAAACAATGATGCACGCCATGAGCGCAGCCACGAGGAGAGGTGGAGACTTCATCCCTCGGCAGCTGTTTCCTAGCCCTACCATTTCAAGAAAAAAAAACAAACCCAAAGAACCACAACAGTGTGGAAACCTGCAAATTAAAATAGACACGTTATATTGCATCCTCCACTATGGCTATTTTACACACATAATGAAACTTTTACTGCAGTAACACAACAGCTGAAGGGACTACACCCAGCAAGGAAGGCATACTGTCTAGATATTTCCATCTGAAGGATGAAGAAAGGCCATCTCGTACTATTAGCTTGTACATAAAGTTTCACATGGACTTGAGGGGGAAGTCTTGAATATTCCTAACAATATAATGAAAATCTGCAATAAACAGAATAAACCAGCCATCTTTTTATCATATATTCCACCCAAAAAGCTAATTAGACAACACTGGTCTAGAGAAAGAGGACAGATTCCTTGTTATCTCATGTAGTCAGATAATAAACTTAGTCTCGCTGTTTCAGGAGTAATTTGCACTTTGCTTCCCAAACTTGGGTAGTTTCAACTTATTCCCTCTGATACTGCTATTTTAACTTTTTGGTTCCAAGCTTGTAAATAAATGAATCAATCAGATTGAACCAAATTACTTTAAGGATAATCTAAAAAATAAAAATAAAATAAAAATTAGCAGACACACTGTTGATTTCAATGGTAAATTGTATTAAGTGATGTTTGCTTTGATCCTCAGCTGCTTTCTCTGCTCCTAACAGAAAATAAATAACCTTGCTTTAATGAATGAGCAGTACCAAGGGTACTACTGGTTGCTATTGAGCCTTGGGTTGTTTCTGTAGAACAGCCCGTCTTAACAGAAAAGCGGAGGCAAAGGACAGTTGCAATTCTGTTTGAACTAGGCCTTATTCACCCTATGAGATGATAAAATCTGGTCTTAATGAGTGCAATAGCACCTAGCTCAATGAATCCTCAAACTCCACTGGGAATCTTGGACACAGTTTGTAATAGATTGCTCTCTTGTAAAGTGAGACCAACTTTTTTTTCTTTTTGCACTCCTGCAGACAAAAGCCAGCACAAAAGAGCACAGAAGATCAAACAGACAGCAAACACGGATGCAATCTGAAATGGGTACACTTACTATTAATATATTGTACAGTCTCTCAAGGTGCATGCTCTTAAATAAACCAAGTTCTTCCCTATGGATGCAATTCACAGGTTGTGATGTATTTAAAAATTAATAAATGGTAGCAACTCTCAAAGGGTTTACATGTGGACATACACTGTAATCACAGGGGAAGAAGGCGATGCCAGCAGTTAGCAGGTACCAGAAATGCTGATTCTACTGTATGTCCAGCACTTAAGTCCTTCAACAGCTCACCTATACCTAAGTGTGCACGTGCACCCTCTGCAAAATCCCCTCTTTCCATCCAATTTAAGATATAACCAGTCTTCCTCTTTTCTCAGCAGGGAGTGGACAATACTGCCAGACTGGTGAAGGTTTCAAATCTATTTGTTCATTTGAAAAGTTTGTGAATTTGTTTATATTTGGGGACCAGATATATATGGAGCCTAAGAGTAAAACGTGGCTTCCTGAAAATGCTGCCTCTTCGTGTACATACACACACACACACACAAAAACCAAACCCAAAACAAACCAAAAAAAGTGTGCATAGCTGCACAGGTCTGACATCCAAGGCCCGAGTTTCTCGCCTAAGGAAACCTCAGCTACGGAGCAAACCAACACATGCAGCACAGCTCCAGTGGACACCCATGGGGCCACGTGCAGCTGAGGTAAGGTCAACAGAAAAAGCAAAGGCATGGGGAGGAACCATGCATTTTTGTTGTAAAGCAAAAAAATCAAGATGCAGTAGACTAAAACACACACATAGAGATATGCTCAAATTTCCAATACAAAGCTAAGAATTGCAGAAACACGTGCATCTTGCACAGGCTATTCTGCTGTGCCATCCTAAGAGGAGTGCCTGAGAAGTACAGAGCCACCTCACCTTACACAGATTCCCTGAAAAGCAAGAACCACAGATCTCCAGAGTGGCAAAAATGAGAGGTGGAAAATGGGGATGATCAGCACCGCCACATCAGCTAGGAACAAGATAATTCATTTACTCTTGTGTAATGGAATAAAATACTACACCTCAAAAAAATGTATATCGGAACCTGTTATGAAGTCATTCATATCTTGTTCTTCACTGTAAGCGTATTAGTTGGTACACTTGAAAACATGCAAAAATTACAAAACATAGCACTGCAAGACAGTGCATCATTCCAAGTGTTACTTGAATAAAATAATCAGTATTTTCCTCCTAGCAGTCAGAAATAGAGAAAGTAGTCCATGTTATCAGCAGTAACAACTTGCACTGGAATTTAACTACTGGATAAATATATGGGAGTAGCTGTTTAGCTCAAAAATTTTCAGAGGTAAAGCAAGTATATTGTTCAAAGGAAGAATGATTAGTTCACCATGCAGCTTAAAGCACAGGCACAAAACCACGTTAAAGGAATGCCAATCACCTACCAAGTACACAAATCCAGCAGCCTCAGAAACTCTTCTGCTGTTTTCAACTATTAAAAACAAGCAGGCCAGAAAGCATTGATTTCACTAAGGCATGTCTGACTTCAGTATGTTGTTCTCTCTAGAAAATCCAGTGTTGTTTGCCCTTAAATAATTTATCTTAAGCAGGAATATATTTTTATACTCAACAGAAGGAAAGGCAAAAGGAAGAGGAAAGAGATGAAACACACAGAAGGATCTTCCATTCGAATAGTGCAGACCCAAAACATTACCTCAGTTGCAATATTGATATTCCCTCTCTCATCAGTTTAAAAATATTAACTGTTTAACTTTCTATCATGGATACACACATGCATGCATTTTGGAGGAGAGATAAGCAAATCAGCTCAGTAAGTACATTTACATGGAAATTTATTCGTACATGCTGTTTTCCAGGAAATAACTGTGCCAAACCAGATGTTTGAGTTGAAAATAAAATACATTTCTGAATTTATGGGTAAGAAAGTGATTTTACTGAACATGAAGGAATCCATCTTCCATGAATGTTTACTACAGATGTGAAAATGAGATACTGTATCACGTGCATCATGCTCTACATCTGGTAGAGCATAAAATTCCTGACTTCTGAACAGCAGATTTCATCCTTCTGCTCTGCCAACCTAGCAGTGCTTCATCGAGAGGGAGATGTTTTAGAATCTTGAGATATTCAAGCAAATTAACATATAGTATACTTTTACTTCCCATATTAACATACTATCAGTCTGAGCAATTCCTTCTTTTATTGTACTCAGCTGAAGTAGGACAGCTGGTATCCAGCAATCTTCCACTACAGATAATTAACATCCACACCGAGTAAGTCTCAAGACTAAGACATTAGAGGCAAAGACAGAGCAAAACAATTTGTGCATTTCAGACTCCCAGAGGAAAGCCAAGTCTCTCTGCTGACAAGGTCTAGCTCTGTATTTGCATGAGACCTGCTGAGCAGGAACAAGCAGAACAGATGAAGAATTCAGTAAAACCAGCGCACAGCCAGGTGAAAGCAAAAGGGGTCCCTTATCCCCGCCCGCCTACCGACCGCCTCCGCCACCACCCAGCCACCGCATGGTACAAAGCCAGCATAAGCCAGAGCAGCGTGTGAAGACCATGTGCAGCTGGAGCAACCACTGAAAAGCAAAGGCACATCTCACTTGGAGGTCTGCACCACCGAGTAAGGACAGAGCCTTAGGAAAACCCCTTTGGAAAAGCAGTGCCATAACCAGAGACAAAAAGAAGGAAAAAACCTGACAAGGAATCCGGGGTTACCAGACAGTGCTGAGAGGACACACAACCCCATACCAGCCATACCCGCTGACAGGTGACCACTCTGCCAAGGCTGGGGAAACCTCCTCCCATCAAGGGACCCCTGCAGATAGACAATGGTGCTATCCCCACCTTTTGCAGATTCCTTCCCAATTTCTCAGTGAGATTCTGGAAGAAATTACCTGTTTTTTCAGATATTGCCATGAAATTCCTATGCCTGACTGCTTGAATAAAAATATACCAGCTTAACCAAGCAAGCTGATCAAAACCTCTTCCACTGACAACAGTTAGTTAGTTATACCCAGACATGACTAAATCAGACTAAAAGGTACTAGAAACTGGGCTTTATTAATTAAAAAAATAAATAAATAAAAAAAGTAATTCTTAAAAAAGTGAATCAGAGAGCAAACATTTGTGTGCTCAGTCTTCCAAAAAAAGGTGATGGTTTGGGGGTGGGTGGAAATGGAGAGGTGACAAAAGTGAGTCAAAACCTTTCATTTTTAGTTTTATATATGGTTAACATACAGTAGTGATCATCCTTGAAAGATAAATCCAATTGTTGGTTCTCACCCACAGCTGGATGTTACCCACAAGTGCCACGATTCACAGTCACATGGCAAGAACCAGTTACAGCCAGCAGCAACCTTTACGCCTTCAAGGGCGCACTGACTGCCTACAGGGGTCAGAAACTGGTACTAATACACTGTCACAAAACACGGCACACAGATTTCTTACCATCCTCTGGAGCAACACTGTTTGGGGGTAAGTTTTTTTTTTCAAGTTTGCAAGTCAAAAGAGGTCAAACAAACGTTTTTCCAGTGGAGATTTAAAGTTTGTACAATGAACTCAAGCCTGCTGACCACAAACTTTCTAAATACCTTTCACAGGAATCCACAAACTGCAGGCTGAAAGGAAAAAACCAACAAAAAACTCCTGAAACACTCAGCAACAGCCACTTTTCAAACTTCTGTACTTTGGATGACTGACTCACTTCAAAGTGGCAACCACCCAAAAAAACAATAAAATTCAAACACCAATGCCACAGGATGTCACTGAGTCACTATTTGCCCAAATTATCAAGTTACACTTCTCACAAGAACAGGAAGGGAGAAGCATTTACAGCACAACATGTGCAGCAACTGCACTCCCATCTTTCTCAGGAATAGTCACCATCTGAGACTCAAATCAGATCTTAGGTCTTCCTTTTCTAACGCATTTTAAACTACAAGTAACAGATCAGAAGAGTATGAAAATACTGAAAAAGCGTTATCTGTTCGGGGGAGGGTGACTTACCACTCCTCCACTAACTATTTTTCAAATCAGCAAGTACCTCTTCTTTCAAATGACTACTTTAGAAGAAGCTAATAACCCATCATCCACAATGTCCTGCCCTTTATCTGATTAAAGGAAAATCCCAAATAGGTGTGTAGCTAAAAAGATGCCAGAGGTTAAGGTAGGTCTCTATTCTGATGAAGGAAGTTAAGTAATCAAAGGTAACTTGACAAAATCTTCTAAAATACCTGCACGAAGTTACACCTAGACAGCATGTCCTGAACTTGTAGACAATACTACTACCACCGGAAAATACTGTGTATGAAAACAAAATTAAACAAGCAAACTTATACACCAGAAGGATCTCAGCAGTTAATCAGACTGTTGATTTCTTTTTAGGAAAATAGTTTATTGTGGGTATTTTTCCCATATAACATGAACTATCTTGTTAGGATCACAATTAATAGGACACCCGCCTGATCTCAAAAAAAGACATTAGGAAATGGAGTACTGTAAGTTTAGATACATGGTGAGAAAACCACAAAATTGCTACCATCCCCCCACCCCTGTGACACCACATGTATGGTTTCACTGTAAAACATGCAAACCTCCCCCTAGAAAAAAAAAAAAATTAAAATCAACATTGCAAATAGTTCTTTATGAGCAAAGTGCTGTTAAGATGTAAGATGAAGAGCCATTTAAAAAGACTCGACCCAAGAGCAAGGTTAATTAAAAACCTGATCAACTACTCCCATCTTCAAGTTGACAAGGGATTCCAAAAGTGAAGCAAGGTAAACCTCCTGGGTTCAAGAAATAACCCCAGTATTTATTGCGTACCCAACAGCTGAATCAAAATTTCGGAGGAGGTGGGGGAAACACTTTGCCAAGAAGAAGTGGGAAGGCCTCTGGAAGCACGAACTTGCAAAAAGAACTTTAGGGAAGTGATGGTGCCCCTCTACTCGGCCCTGGTGAGGCCGCACCTCCAATACTGTGTTCCGTTTTGGGCCCCACACTACAAGAAGGACATTGAGGTGCTGGAGCGTGTCCAGAGAAGGGCAACGAGGCTGGTGAAGGGTCTGGAGAACAAGTCCTATGAGGAGCAGCTGAGGGAACTGGGACTGTTTAGCCTAGAGAAAAGGAGGCTCAGGGGAGACCTTATCGCCTTCTACAACTACCTGAAAGGAGGTTGTAGCGAGGTGGGTGTCGGTCTCTTCTCCCAAGTGACTAGTGATAGGACGAGAGGAAATGGCCTCAAGTTGCGCAAGGGAAGGTTTAGATTGGACATGAGGAAAAATTTCTCTACTGAAAGAGTGGTTAAACATTGGAACAGGCTGCCCAGGGAAGTGGTTGAGTCACCATCCCTGGAGGTATTTAAAAGACGTGTAGATGTGGCACTTAGGGACATGGTTTAGTGGGCATGGTGGTGTTGGGTCAACGGTTGGACTTGATGATCTTAGAGGTCTTTTCCAACCTTAATAATGATTCTATGATTCTATGAAAAGCCATCAACCACCCCAGCGAGGGTAAGAAGAGACAGACCTCCGCAGCTCCGCCTGTGGGGAGGGAAAGCAGGGAGCCGGCTGAAGTGGGACTGGCTCAGAAGAAGGAGGAACGGGAACGGTTTCAGGGCTCAGCCCTGGTGGGAAGGGACCTCCAAAGACCGTCTGGTCCGACCTTTCCCAGGAAGGGGAGCCTGGAGGAGATCATCTCACACCCTGCCTTGTTACGGCCCTTTCTGACTTCTAACATCATCGTTATTCCTACCCCTGCTGTGAATATCCGGAGTCATTTTGGCCTCAACACGCTTCTCTCTGTGCAAAAAACCCAGAGAGGGAAGACTGACTGAACAAAATGTAGTAACATAAAACGCTGTTAGTGTCAGCTATGCACGCAAGCTAAGCCCAGACGAACCACCCCGGTACCTCCGCTGGCATCTACCCGCGGCGAGTGGGAAGCTCCCGCGGGACGGAGCCCGCCCGGGGCCGCAC